TGAAAAGAATGGCCAAAATACTGGGATGCTCTACATCATTTCTTTACAAGAGATCAAAATCGATGGGTATACCTGTGAGAAGCAGGCTGTCTGCAATAGACGATGGTGAACTGGAACAGCAAGTGAGGCGACTTCAGGACCAATATCCAAATTCTGGGAATGAGGTAATTGGTAGTCTTCGTCTATTTTATTTACATTTGTGTGTCATTGTTTTGTAAGTTCATGGTCATTTTAACTTTCCAAAAATCTGTTTCAGATGATGAGAGCCCTGTTGCGTGCACAGGGTGTGACTGTGACGATTCACGGTTGACAAGGATAAATCCAGCTGCTGCTGCAAGGAGATGGAGCCAGACAGTTGCAAGACGGGTTTATCATGCACCATACCCCAACAGTTTGTGGCACATTGATGGGAACATGCGCCTTATAAGGTTAATTATCAGACTTGTCATATTTTGAATATTTATAAAACAATAACTTGAATTTAAAATTTGAAGTTTACAGCTACTTTGTTTCCAAACTACGGTCCATATTATATTTGCATGATTTCCCAGGAATAATTTTATTTTTTACCCACCCTTTCTAGGTGGGGCTTTGTTATTCATGGTGCCATTGATGGACATTCCCGTCTCATTACTTACCTGAACTGCAGCACAGACAATCGTGCCATAACAGTGCTGTCACAGTTTTTGAAAGCAACGTGCCTCTATGGACTACCCTCGAGAGTCAGATCTGACCATGGTGGTGAAAACTTGCTTGTGGCTTTATTCATGAATCTAGTGCAAGGACTTCAACACAGGAGTTTTATAACAGGAGAGTCAGTGCACAATCAAAGGATAGAACGCCTTTGGCGTGATGTATTTTTGCATGTGTTGCAGCACTTTTACCTACTACTCCTTAGAGGATTCAGAGGTTCTAAACCCTGCTAATGATGTCCATGTACTTTCACTGCATATTGTTTATCTTTCTGAGATTCAAAACAGGCTAGAGTACTTTAGAGAGGCCTGGAATCACCATGCATTGAGAACAGAAAATAATCGCACACCAACTCAACTCTGGACAGAGGGCATGCTCACAAACATTGCAACAGACAACACAGCTATCAACAATGTGTTTGGGGAAAATCCCTACAGTGACCAAAACGTTGATGCCATCCTAGCTCAGCATGGAATTCAGACACTGCCTACATTTGATGAAGAAGAGTTCCCAGCTGTAACTGTAGAGCTACCTCAACTCGTCACTCAGCAACAACAGGCATTTGTGTATAATGCAGTGCAACACATTTCTGATCTAAGGATAAAATACTGCAATTGGCAGTATTCTACAAACACAGGTATGAGCTAGTCATAGAATGACTAAATCTGATTTATTGCATATTATCAACATGTAATTTGTTACCATTGTAATTTGAAATAGACATGCTGATTTTTGAACCCTAAAACTTTTCAATAATGTGACTGTTAATTATTTGTTATAATGTCATATCATCACTTTGTGCTAAACTTGATTCTACATGTATTAATAAAACAAGACATGATTTTGCTTGAGCCTGATATCATTACCGTCATGACCAGTTGCAGACATGCCGAGCAGGGAAGCACAGGAGTCCAGAATACAAAGAAATGTGGGGTTTATTCACTGAAACAACAGGACGAGGTACAAAACGGTAAAGACTTCAATGACAAAACTAAGGAAACATACTCAAATGCAGACTGAAATACACAGGACTCAATGGAAATAACAGGAAACAGCTGATAGCAATTGGTGTGATGGCCTGAGCGAGACTACCATCAAACCCATGGGGTAGGCCACAAAAGACAGGAGTACAGCAGGCAGGACTCCAAAAATATATTTCTTTTATTACAAACAACAAAATTTCATGCCTCCTTGTAAAACCCAACACACAAAAAGGGGGGAAAGTGGAGAAGAAGAGGGATGTATCTGCACACTTTACCACCTCCAACTTCGGGCAGCCCTCCCTATATAATAATGTCCAGCACCATCACAACCCCAAAAGGGGAAGGGTGAGGAACACAGTTTACCATACATTAAACAAACACGACCCATCACCTCTTAACTTTTTTTTTCCTTTACAGAATAATCCACATAGTTTACATCACTACCAACATTCACCATTTTTATTTTACCTCGTAATCCCCGGTCATCACACCAAACAAAATACCCCCTTCCGACCTGTACCATATTGAAAAGTGCAATTACTTGGTACCCCATAAAACATCCACATTTTGCCATGGGACTCCTTTGCTGGTTGCACCTTCCCTGGTAAGTTAGATGAACAGGTTAGTTCTGCAGATGTTTTCCAATTCAATCTATGCATCTAACTAATCAATAAACCATGTTATACCAAGTACCATGATGTCACTTGAGTGTTACTATGGGTCCACCTTAGCAGCACCTTTTCTTCCAGGTGTAGGATCACACGTGCACAAATAACAGAGCTTAAATTCCAGGTGGCCTGAGACAAGGCCTAGCCTGGTATGAAAGGTACTCGCTGGCCTATGCACAGAAGGGGGGTTAGTGACCCCACACACATAAACACACTTAAACACACACACACACAGATAACAAGGGAGGCCAGCACTCCAACTTTTATTGCCCAAAGATTTAGCAGACAGCAGAGTGGACCTCAAGGACAGGGGTCCCTCGACTTGGCACACAACCCCCTCCCCAGACATCCTGCCTTACACTCACCCAACAGACCAACACCCTAAAAGAGAGTTTATTTTAAGTTTGGCTTTTGTATACCCTGTATATTTCTTTGCTTATGATTGCTAGCTCTCAATATACAGGTTATGTTTGTATGTGTCCTTAGACAATATTAATGTTTTGTGTGCCACCCTTACAATCATGTTCACAGAGTATCACCTATTTTACCCCTTTGCACTTGAACACATATAAATTTAAATAAATATATAGGTATAGCTACCACTGCATATATGTTCTCATGGTTATACCAGAAGAATCTTGAAGATTGAATAGTCTAACCAGGTATCTTAGTGTGTCCTAACTTTTGGAGATTCTTCTTTCTTTGTTTAACAAACCCCCCCTTCCCTTCCACATTCCTCTGTGGCCCTTATCTGATCTTTGTGTTAGCATTTCTTTACTTGCTATTCTGCATTAAAGGAACTGAATTAAGGTGTACATTACCCATTCTGGGGAGAAGATCAATTGGGATAAGCCACACCCACCAAAATATGTTGTTCCCAAATGTGCAACTTAAATTGGTATTACTACAAACTAACGGCCACGCCTATCTAAGGTAAGATGGGCTGTTTGAATGTGAATATGTAATGTGATGTCTGTACAAAGTGTAACATATCTTGAGATGCAACCCAAAACACCTATACCGTATACTGATGTGAGTCAGTAACATACAGGATATAAGTAATTGTTAATTAATTAATACAGATGGTATGAGGTGTGAACCGCTAGGCTGGTATGGCATGTTTGGTATCAAACTGATGGAAAATCACTCCTCATTCCAAATCTGGTTACCATGAAAGTGTATGGATCAAAAGTTACGACAGCTTAATGAAAATCATCAGTAAAGGGGAATAAGTCTGGTGATAAATCCCAAATGGATTGCCACAGACATCCCCTCCGAAAGCCCGCCAAATGGATGGTCAGCCATTGGTTCAGGTTTCGAATTCCTGGTCATCCCTATTCATGAACTTTAGACTATAAAAACTGGCACCTCAGAACAAAGCCAGGGGGAGTAGCAGAGAAAACATCAGCCCGAAGAGAGACAGAAGAACATCAGCCCAGGAGAAGAGAAGCCCGCAAGAAGCCCTCCTGAAGCCTGCCGGTGAAGGTTGCTTCCAAGACAAAGCCATTCACCTTAAAGCTTCACAAGGAGAGAGAATCCAAGGAGCTCCACTCCAACAACTGCTCCAAACACCATGCCTTCCTGAGTGCCATCATCCCGTCAGCACATCAGCCTCTGCAACCAACTGCCAAGACCCCCCCCCCCACTCTGCAACCAAGTAAACCAACTTCCTCTTATTCTAACAACCTAAGTTGTTAGAATGTTCTGTTAACTTGCTATATGACTTTAGTCGTGTTTCCACAGACTGAGCTTGCTTTGCAGAACAGTATTTCCCATTCAAGGTTACTCATTTAAATCCAGTCATTGCATTTCCATAATTACATTGTTTGTTTCTATTCTGTTACTTCGTGTTTGTACTTGTGTTAAGTGTAATGTCTGTCTTATGTTAGTATAGTGTTAGCTAAGAATAAATGCATGTATTTTACACAACTTCAGCCTCCGTTCATTAAGTGCTCACAATAGTGCCTGCCTCTGTGCTACAAGCTCTGAAACCTCAAACTCACCTGAAATATCGCAAGACTCACTCTCATCGGCCGGGAGGGGAGCTTCGCTACCGATCGTTTACCTGTCATTACCTGGTGATGCAGCTCGCTGGACAAGCCTTCTAACCCAGGTTACTAAGCGATATTGGTAATTAGTGAATCCCATTTAAGTCTCACATTAACAGACTTCCGATGATACTGCAATTGAGTATGGAGGAGCCGACCATAGCAATTGGTTGATAATCAGTATTAAATAATAATTAATTAAAGTTTAATTCATTTCAAAACATATTGATGGAGATATTAAAATTTACCTGAGCTAATAATTCCTACACAGAACTGCACGACAGCTTGGGGCAAGTATTTTGCCCGGTCGATCAGGGCTGTCACAATCGGGATTTCACACGATGTTAATGAGGGGGCGTGGCACACAGGAGGCTCGGACGATCCGTGCGTGACAATTACTGTAAAGATCTCTTTTTTTGTCTTAATTTCACATTTATTTATTCTTTCATTTAGTACTCTGAATGTTCCATGAATTGACAATGACAACAAATGAAAAGACACAAAGAATTGCTTTTTAACTTTTATTTCTTTCATGTCAGTCTCTGGAAGGATGATAAAACCAAATGAACTTAGGATATGCATGAATATATCAAGAAAGCCTTTCCCTATCATTCTGTTCCAACCAATTTACTGTTGATGTATCTAATTTGGGTAATTTAAGTAAAAAAAATTACTTAAATTTTCTCTCTAAAACTATGAATTCAATGACTTTCCCACTAACATGTTTTGTTCAGTCAACTTAAGTTACTTAGAGCAACCTTCAATCCATGAGAAGTGAACATAGTAATGCAACTACGGATAATTTTCAAAACACATAACTGCAGTTTGTCTGCAATCTTATGCAGTAATCTATAAAATTACTCAACCAATAAAAAATCTGAACCAACATTGTTAGAGAAACACCACTAACAAAACACATGAACATATGCTAAAATGTTTTTTTAGGACTAGGAAATGCATCAATGGTGGCAAAAATGGTGGTTAACACTTTAACTCTGACGGCCCTGTTCATATATGTGTATTTTTCTTGTTTGGCATTCATAACAAATTATGCAACTCCAAAAGTTGGAGCTTGCAAAATTCCCTCTGTCATGTATTTCTTGAAAGTGTCATAGGAAGAGTGAATCGGCAGGTGGAGTACCAGAAGACAAGTATTTGCTTCTGGGAAGATTTTGCTGTCCTCATGGAGAAACTTTATTTGTGGCTGATGGGGAAATCCAAGTGGAGGCACTGCTGAGGCTCCTGAGATAAATTCCAAGACAGTCTCAAGAGTGATAGGGCCAGCTTCTTCTTCTGTTGGACACCAAGTAAAGAGTAATTATCTGACATGTTGGATTTTAATTCCTCAATTACGTGACTTAGTACTTAGGAATAATCTTTTTTGATGACAAGAATACAAAATACAAACCCTCAATGTCAATCAACCAGTCTCTCCAGAAGCATATTGTCTGGTTTTCTTGAGCTCTTCTATTGCTGCCCAGCCTGGAGAAGTCCACTGTGAAAAGACTGTTCAGATCCTTGGCCTGAAGTGGTTTTTCTTCACAAACAAACATCTCATGGAAAATAGAAGGGTATCTCTGGAGCTGATCAAGTAATCCAAGAGTCTTGAAGCCTTCAGCAAACCTGCAAGAGGGAGCCATGAAGGAATTTAGATTGATTGATTTTATTTAACAGACTCTGGTCCATAGATACATACATAGGAAAGGACAAATAAAAGGAAAACAGAATATAGAAACAGAAATATTAAAAATCAAGTGACATACAGACATCTCAGCCAGTACAACCGCAGTCTGGATGCATAACAAGAGTGAAAGTGAGTAAATGTCATAGTAATATTACTAATACATTTTCTGATGGTTTATATGGATATTGTGCAATCATGGTGATTATTGAGAGTATGATCACACAAATACAGTCAGTGATAGTCATAGTTAATATAAGGATCTGTTCACCTGCATGCTGCCGGTAAATGAGGGTGAGAGGGTCACTATATTTTTGGTTGACCCCCATTTTCTTTTGATTGCTGTGATTAGTTATATTTTTGTGCTTGTTGTAAATAGTTGATCATTTTTATTAATAAAAGTTACAAAGCAAATTTATTTGGATCTTAGAGAACATACAATTTCATGATCAGCTGGAGACCCAACATTTGCATTTTATTGCAACCTATTATTCATTGCTTTTGAAATTTCCTTTGTGATTGTAAACTGACATATTAATTACTAATACATCCTTTGACATTCCTTCTGATAATATTGTTGTTTCTGCTGGGCAATTTTGTCCCATTAGGTACACCAGGCATGCCCTAAACCTGCCCAGCATAGCACATCTCATTTTAGATACTTATAATAATACTTATTATTATTCACCCTATGTACTTACATCAAGAGAAACAATGGCTTCAAAAAACAAGAGTTGAATAAAACCCTGTAACACGATATGAATATCACAAAATTGAAAAGTAAACATTTGTTTAGGTTTTGTGACAGATTAGATCGTGTAGGGAAACTTTAGACATGTCAACTGGCTACATGCTTTATTTACATTAATAATACAAAGCTATAACTGGCTTACTGCTCAATAGCATCCCTCATTCTTCCATTCATGAGGAACTGTAATGCAGAGCGAACCAGGGAGTCCTTATCTTCCATTTTTGTCACATGTCTGAGGGAACCTATAATGCACAAGCTCTCAGCTGCTTCTCCAATGGCAATATTTGCCTCCTCGATTGTTTCTGCTTCTTGTATCTGGGTGAATTTAAAAAAAAGTATCGTATTGATTATATGCAAGTTTTAACGTGAATACCAAAATTAATACCTCATTATTGTTTAAACTCACTTTCATCAGCTGTTCCCGAAGTGTGCGATCATTAACATCTTCAATTTTGACAAGGGCTGTTGGTAGTCCACAAATTTGCTGGTATAGCCTGTCTGAGAAAAAATGTGGACCCACTCCTCCATGGACTACACAAACAGAAATCATTCTGGCCACCCACATATACATCTTTGCGTCCAAGGCTGCCATAAATGAAGAGGCAAAGTAAACAATTACAGTTAGTGAACCCATCCGCCGTTTAAAAGTATTTACCAAACTTACCTACTTAGCAAACAAAGACATTTGTAGCAGGAGTGGCACAGTCATGCAGATTAAACTTAATTACACGTACACTCAAATGTGTAGAAAACCTGACATACATAATGACAAACGTTAATAGCTTTCTAACCTTCCGTGCTCAGTGCCAGTTGGCGGTCCTTTTCATGGCCCTCAAAGATATAACAACCATGGATTGCTTTCATGAGCAATCTCAGGAACTCTCTTGTGGGCCCACCTTCATCCACCGACCCCTCTGCATTCATGTCCTCATCAACAAAGACAACATCAAGTTTTGCTTCTGGGTTGAAGCGCCGACGCTTAAATGCTTGCAGGCTGCATTGTAAAATGTTCCTGCAAACATTTATTTGGTTGCTGGTTGGACACAAACTGAAGTCCACCCCATTAATCAATTTGATCAAGATGGTCTGTACATTAACTCTGTAAGTAGCAAAAAGATAAAAGAGTGAAGACTTTTTCAATTCAGTATGAGCTCAATGTACAGTTCACATAATTTTTATTTATTATTTTCTTTTTTATAATTTTGAAGGTAGAATTGGACTGAATGCTATAATATCTATCAGCTGTTGTTGATACTCCAAATAGTCTTCATCCGCATTTTTTAAATTTGTAATGTACACTAAGTGAAATACTTTAACACATACTCATTCACAGCCTCCTCTGGTGGAAGGGAAGACAAAAGAGTCTCGGGAGTCTGAAGGCCAGGACAGACTTCATTGTCATCATCATCATCATCAATTATAATTGGTGTGTGGGCCAATGGAGATGACTGAGCTGAGTCTACAGTAAAGAATGGTGATGGTATGGAAGTAGGAGGCACATCTGGATTTGTGAGTAGCTCACTGGAGGCCAGAGTGAGCTGCTGTTGGTCAACATTCCTCTGATGAGAAATCCAGTCCTAACAGGCCAAAAATATGAACAAAAATGATAAGTGAGCAATGTTTAAGAGCTAGAATTTTGTATGCTATAATATTAATTAAGACAATCAGTTATACTCACCTCAACATCCATACTAGAGAGCCAAAGGACATAAAGTGTAGAGTTGGTTTGATAACCCTGGTCCAAAATCAAACCACCTGAAGTGCTGTTGATGGCTGTACTACAACGAGCCTCCTGCACCTTAAAAACTTCACTTGCTGCCTCATCTTGACCAACAAAGTCAAACAGAACCTATGAAAATAATATAAATGTTCTGATAAGGGTACTGTGACTCATTTAAACAATTTTTCCATGTTATTCATACATGGGTGCAAACCTATCACCTTTCTATGAAATTCTGTTTTTACTTCAAAAAGGTAACCTACGTGAATTGTGTAGAAAGAAAAAGTGTGGGGGGAGGGTTATAGCACATCACCCTGTGGAGATATATTTTTCCTAGAATGGCGAAGGCATGACCCGCCCTACTCTGCTTCTGATTGGCTTAATCTGATATTCCTGCTATAACCGTAACCAATCTCATTCCTCTTGTCTAAACCTAACCAACCCAACCGACAAAGGAAACCAGTACTTGCCAATCAGAACTTGGCCACTCTGTGTCATTACACTTAAGCCTGAGCTAACGTATTCCTGTTTGCTCGATCGGGCCCTGCTTCTGCTGGATATTCCATTTCATGTATTTAAATAACTTTTAGCTGCTTCAGGCAATTATCTACAATGAAGCCTGCTGGGAGTCCCATAGTAAAAATATTAAATATATATGTTAGTCTATGTGTCAATCCATGCCCAAGCCAATAGAACAGATTGGTAAACTGAGCACAAGGCTCACTAAACCAGCATTAGTACTGGTTTCAATGAACTCCGAACAACAGAAAATACTGCAGGTATAAAAAACATGGCCACGACAACTCCAGTGTACAAACAGCTTAGTCAAGAATGCAATGAATTTAGCTGCACATTCCAAAAAAATGGTGCACAGCTTTTAGAGAGTTCACGGTATCGGTTACAAAGCCCCCAAATAGTAAAGACAATCATTTACAGTATTCATTAGAAAAATAATTTAACCATGGAGACAGCAATTAGTTCAAGACACCAGTAATGTTATTTAATTTTACAGTATTGTTGGAACATTTATGACTTGAAATGACCTTCATTTAAAATGCTAAGTAATCTCTAGAGTCAATAAGTTGTTTATTTCTAATAAGGAGTTGACTAAACAATTACTGTATTGTTAAACATTCAAAATGCCTTTATTTGGAGGTTTGATAGACTATTTAATACTTTATACATCACTTAAACAGAGCTCATATAGAAAAACGTAGCATGCATCACGGGAAGGGGCCAGGGTGCCACACATCAGCCACAACAGTGAGGGCTTAAATGCCCTTTTAGTTCACTGTCAGAGTGCCACAAGCACCTTTTTTCAGTGTTCTTAACTGATGTCCCCCTTACATTAGATTACATTTATTCTAAGGTGAGGTTTTCCCCTATAACCTCATGTGAAAATACACGGTAAATTCATAATTTATAGCAGATATTTTTTCTAAATGTTCAGGGGTGCATAGCCCTGGATCCCCCTATGGAGTTTGCATCTTTGTCAGCATTTTCACCCCTGATGAGTTTGCACCCCAGTAATAACATTACCTGGATAGGCTCTGATTCAGCGAATCTGCCAATACTCATGGAACCATTAGGATACTTGAACTTCAAGGATATCCCATCTGACGGTTCTTCACGATCAGCCATTCTCTGACATCGTTCTTTAATGGCCTTACATGTAGACAAAGCTGTCAGTGTTATTAACAGAGTGCAAAAAATGAAACAAAAACAGCTTTTACATATAAACTAACCCTTCTACGTCATTCCTCGATATTCTCAAGGGCCCGTTTCCTGATTTCCTGTAATTATAATAACATACAAGCCATATAGCCAATAATTATAGAATAGAAATTAAAAACCTGACCGAAAAGAAAATATACCTTCTGTTGGTCTGCTAATAGGGACCTGCAATATTCTTCATCCTGTTGGGAGCGTAGTGTTTCTGATTCCTGAAGGAAGTACACAAAGTTAATTATAGCATTTCTAAAGTATTACAATTAAAAGTTAAAAATAAAATGCGTTTATGAAATTTTGACTTTACCTGGGTGTAAGAAACTGCTTGACATTGGCCTGCTACTGTGGTGGTCTGAGAGACGAGAGGTAGCAATGAGTTCTCTGATACCACAAGTGGAATGGACTAAATAGTCAAATAAGATAAGATATATCATAATTATGAACATTCATACCATCAGTTTGAATAACACATTATCATTATGATATAGCTTAAACACTTGTTTTATTGCATAATTAACAGTTAAAATGCACTATTTGTACACAAATTCCATCAAACTATGAGTCTCTTGTTGGTGTAATGTATCATTATACCTGTAACATGCTCCATTTCTATTAGTACAACAACTTAGTCATCATAAAAACAAAAAACTCAAAACCACCAGCCATATTTTACTGTTTTCTACACATGAATTTTAGAATATCTTGAGAAATATCAATGAAAATAAATGCTGTTTTTGAAATGAGATTGAGATGAAACACAGATTAAAAGAGAGCTTCTTAAATTGTGTGCATGTTTTCATATATTACCTGATGTGACACTACATTTTCATCAGACACCTGTGTCTGACTGGTGGAAGAAGAGAACAATGAGGCTTGGCCCATCTGAGTAGTTGATGTAATCTGTGGATACAGATGAAGGCTTTACAGTTCCACCTGTATATATCAGTAAGACTACAATGTAGCAGTGCTTTGAAATTAAATTAATCCATACCTCCATTACTTCCACATGCGGCAATATGTAGAGCCTGCTTTTTCCAACAGATATTTTAAGCTCTCTCACAGAGCCAGCCTGTAGCTTTTGAAGCTTGCGCCCCTTGCCTGCCTTTGCCAAGTCAAACCCAATCAAATTTAGACTGATTAGGGGATAACATTGGCAAATGAAATTATTTAGGTCAGGCAGTGACCAATTCAATTCTATTTTAGAATTTTCTGACTCATGTGCTGGTCTGCCTAAAAAAAAAAGAAAAATATGCACATTAGTACCTAATTTTCTACAAGAAAAAAAATACTCATTCATAGCTTACAGCCTGACTGAATATAACTTCAGGCTTGCTACTAAGTGCCTATATTGTCTGATTCCTTTGGAAACAGCTTGATGATTGATAGATATGCTTTGGATATTACAATGTCTTAGCCTATCTAGCTGCCCATTACAAGACAACCATTGATAATAGGGATCAAGGTTTGATTTAATGCCATTACCCACAGAGTTATGCAATGATGATCAGCACAAACAAACGTGATTGGGTAGTAAAGATGAAAAATACTGAAATACTGACAATATTGTATGAACAGGGCCAGTTTTTAAGAGTTGCTGAATTCCATTCTATATTGCAATCTAATGTTTACCTAATCCAAGACTGGAAAACTTCTGCAGATCAGCTGTAGAAGGAAGAATATCAAAATGAGGGCCAGGAAGGAGGAAGAGTCTTGCCTGCCAAACAGGGTTTGCCCGCCTCCCAAGTGTTCCTGACAAACACAAATTGGAAAAAATTAATTGTTGCTGAAACAAACAAAGCACCAGCCACACTAATTGTGTGTCTTAATAAGGGCTTTATTTTATTACTGCTGGGGGGTCATCAAGGTTTTTAAGTATCTCATAGATACTCACATAGTGCTGCCATGTGGCCTGTTTTTGGGTATTGCCAAATCTGTCAGGGTCAGCACCCGTCCACCCCAACCTTTCATGTCTCTGCTCCATTTGGCCAGCAAGTGTTGCTGGCCATTCTGTCCTCCCTGTTGCCCTTTAAGTCCCTAGTGTGTTTTTGCTAGGTACCCTGGACTGCTGCATAGCTGAATGGGTTGAGTGTGTGGTATAGAGGCTATTGCCCTATTAGTCATGGGTTCGAGACTGGCTTCCCTGGTTTTGTTTATTGGGTTTCTGTTTTCTATTTTTGTTTATCCTACTTTTTGTCAGTTTAATTCAGTTTGTTTTTGTGTTCTTAGGCCCTACTACTGTTAGCTCTCTGTATTATATTCTTAGTATTTTTCCTAGTACATATATAGCCAATATTTCCTAGCTTTGGTATGTCTTGGGTAGTTCACTGGTTCTGTGCTTTGTTTTATTTAATTCACCTGTCCCTTGTTTGCCTTGCCTGCCTGTTTGATTAGTGTTCTTTAGTGTAAGTTACTGTACTCCACCTGGGGCCTGTTTCACAAAGCAGGGTTACTTGCTTAGCCAGGTAACTTGCCAGATTTAAGGTAGTCTGGGATAAATGTAAGTTGATGAAAATAAGGTCTATTTAGCCCAGACTACCTTAAATCTGGCAAGTTACCTGGCTAAGCAAGAAATCCTGCTTTGTGAAACAGGCCCCTGTTGCCTGTTTGCCCTGTGCCCTGTTATTGATTTCTTGTCTATGTTGTATACCTTGCCCCTCTCCTTAGGGCAGTTGCTTTTTGGTATTTAAGTGCCTGCCTGCCTTAAACCTTGTGTTCTTTCGGCCGCAAGTGGATCGTCCATTTTTTTTTCTCTCCTCTCTTCTCTTTTTCCTGCACAATGCCCTGTCGCCATGACAGATCCGAATCAGAATCTTAACAAATTTATCTGAAAGTAATAATATGGAGTAATTAAGTTATAGGTGCTACGGTGCAGCAATCACATGCGCATTTTCTTCAGGAAATGCACTTGCATGGTTAAGTTTCGAATCTTTTCATAGTCAAGTAACCCACAAAAAGGACAGAGCAGTGAAGAACGCTTAGCATTGTCCATGCTTGTCCATAGTGCTAAAGCAATCATGCATACTTACTTTGAGTCACTGGACGACGTCGGAAAAGTCACCTTGTAGTAGAAAGTCACTGCACTGGCATGTCAAGTCTACCTCTTAAATTATTGTTATCTTTGTAGCTGATGGTTTAGATCAACGGTCACTAACGGGCGGACCGCGGTCCGGTTCCGGACCCAGAAGCTGTCCCATATGGACCCGGACCGACAGCCAAAACATTAAGTTATTATTTAAAACCTGACGGGGTGCTTTTATTTTAACCGGCGCAGCGTTTGTAGTCTTTTCAGTTAGTGGTTTAGTAGTTGAACCGCCGTTTCCCACGCCAATGAACGTCAAACGCCTTTGACCGCCAAGCAAGACGTTTATAGTTCGGCGTATGCAGCCCTTTGTCTGCGCTAATGTGCCTTTCGTAGCAGCAGCAAAGCTAACACCCGTAACCAAAAAGCGTAATATTCCTAACAGCGGGGCTGCGCTCTCCTGAAATTATAAAGCTGAAAAGTTTTCAAATACAATATGTATTATGTAACACGTTTGATAAATAGACATAGTTTATTGTTGATTCCATGTTTGTTGAAGTTTCTGCTTTTTAACATATGTATAAAGTAATGTTATCTGTTATATAAATAAACTCATATTTATTTCTGAAGGCTGTTGGAGCTGGGG